GGCCACCTATGGGTTAGTTCCGACTGGACAGTACGCAACAACATGAACTATAAGATACTGGCTGTCAGTAAGATTATTTGTTTGTTTTTATAATGCTCTATGTAAAATCCCATGAAACAGATCATAATCATCAATAATATTCCATGGGACAGAGAAGACTCCCTGAAAGACCCTTAAGAAGATTGTGGAAATTGGATGGAAACTCAGCTAAGGAGCCGTGGTCCGCATCCCTGAGAGCAGTGGACCCAGCAAGATGGAGCCAGTCTACACAGGTGAGGAAGCTTCACACAGTAGAGGGACTTGAGAACAAACTGCCCAAGGATTTGTTTGGGTGTGTTGTGTGTTGGTTTTTTTGTTTTTTTTTTAATTTGTTATTTTTTTTAAGATACAAAGATACACAGCAAATAATTCCACAATCTTTGTGTATAAAATTCAGTGACTTTCACTATATTCTTCAAGTTTACAGCTCTGCTCACACTCCTTTTCTGAACTGTTCCTTCCTCATTAATGTATTGTTCATAGAATTTTAAAAGCCCCACTATTGTTCACATTGGATACCCAATCCTTCTTCCTAGTCTATCTTAATCTAGCAACTCTGTGGCAACCTGGCTATCATGGGTGACCCTTCTGGTCCTTCAGATACTGTTGGCACAGCTTCCAGCATTACAGCATCCCACAAGCTACACCAGAACAACAGACAGACAAGTGCTGTGTGAATAGGTTCAGATAATAAGCACGCTAGCCTATACACAGCCGTTGTAGTTGTTGTTAAGTGTCGTTGAGTCATAGATGACTCATAGTGACCCTATGAACAAAAGACCTGAACACTTGTATAACTTTCATCCTTTCTCCAGGTTCATAGAGTTTCCAGAGGCAAGCTATTTCTGAAGTGGATGCCACTCCTGCTTCCAAGCTTGTTTTAATCGGGGAGCTCCACCAAACACTGTCCATCAGGGGTAACCATTAACACATTTGACACATCAGTGTCACAGTGTTTAGCATCTCACCAACCACAAGTTACCTCTGTACAGCAAGTGGACAGACCAGTGCTATACCACTTAGAAGAAAGTTTGACCAAAAACATTAAAATCAGGCCTGAGGGCTACAGATTAAAATCACCCACCTTTGAGTAGGATATATAAAATAATTGGCATCATGCAAATTGTTCCCTAGTAAATGAACTGACAAATTGGTGTCGTACCTCTAACAATCAACTATAAAGACAACCAGGCATACAAATATCATGGTGCAGGACACTTTTTCATACCCAGCTAAGGCCAATGGTGGAGTGGCAGGCTGGGTCTTAGATGGGAGTATTGCATGGACAGTGGCTCAGCTAGATCTTTTGTACTGGTGCTTGGCCCAGGCCCAAGGGTCACTAAGCCTGAGGACCAGCAGGCAGCCAGTGGGGCCTCTCCTGCCAGTGGCTTCAGCGATGCCCTCTAGTATATCAGAGATGATAAAGATTGTACTGAATAGGGCGGACAGGTGCGCTGTTCATAAACTCACTCTGAATTGTACTTGACTCAATGACACCTAACAACAACAACAGTATCAATATAAACCACTGTCCCCTCAGCTTCTCATCTAACCTTTCAAGTTGTTATTGTCTATTGAAACCCATATATGTATTTCTTTAAAAGAGCTCAAATTAGATATTCTTTACGAGTTGAACTATAGTTCAGTGGCTTAGGGAGATGAATTTTTACCCACTTTGGGATTATTAGCAGGAGGGATAAGGTCCTGGAGAAAAACATTATGTTTTTGTAGTTGTGTGCCATCAAGTCAGAACCAACCCCTAGCTGACTCTCCAGTGGGTTTTCAAAGGGAGTAAATGCATGGAAAGAGATTGTCCATCCTTTTCCAAACAAGCAGCTGGTGGATTCAAACCACACGCCTTTGGGATTGCAGGGCAGCTTCTTACCATTAGACCACCATAGCTCCCATTATGCACGGTGTCAGAAAAAAGAAAATGCTCAAAGGGATGGATTTATGCAGTAGCCACAACAGTGGACTCAAATATAAGGCCTGTTGTTCATAGCCTGGCTGTGAGTTGTACTCAACAGTTCATGACAACATTTGGCTGTGTAATCTTCAGTAAATAACTAGACATCTCATAGGACCAATATAATATGGAACAATTTGAGCCAGTCAACTGAGGTATGCTTCAGAGAAGATTTGCTATTTATCTCCAACGTGTATCTACCATGATCAGGCCATACTACTGGTTTCAAGACCACTCTGTATAGGAAAGGAAGGACTCCTTGAATGAGAGGAGTCAGACAGGGAATAAGCCTTGAGGATGGTCTCCCAGACTTGAATGGGCTGCAGACCTAGTAAAAGGATCTCTTGGGGGCTTAATAGTTGCTATCAAGTCACCTTTACTACCTAGTTGTTGTTATTGTTATGTGTGGTTGAGTACGACTCATAGCGACCCTATGAACAACAGATCTGAACCCTGTCTTATCCTGTGCCAGCCTCACACTTCCTGACACATTTAAGCTCATTGCTGCAGCCACCACCTGGTTGAGGGTCTTCTTCTCCTTCACTATCCATCCACCTTTCTAAGCATGATGTCCCTAAGGAATAACCTCTCCTAGCAACATGCCCAAAGTATGGGAGACGAAGCTTCCTCATTACCTAAAGCACCACATAATACATATAGATGAGGACTCAAGTTTAAAGAGGCAGGAGCATGTCTGGAGAGCCCACGTAGGAGTGTAGGGGACTCTGTCCTGCTGAGGAGGCCGGTCTAAGAAGATGGGCCGAGGGATAGACTAATGAGGGAGACCTTGGTGGTGCAGTGATCAAGCAGCTACTCTACAGGAGAAAGATGTGGCAGTTTGCTTCTGTATAGCCTCGGGAAACCCTATGAAGCAGTTCCATTCTGTCCTATACATTCATCATGAGTTGAAATCAACTTAATGGCAGTGGTCTTGGTTTGGGTTTGTCTTCAGTTCAGGCAGGTGGACAGAGCATGTCGTTGAACTAAAGATCTGAACCCTGTTCTAGCCTGTGCCATCCCCACACTTCCTGACACACAAGACCTATTGTGGCGGTCACTGTGTCCATCCACCCTGGTTAAGGGTCTTCTTAGGGGCTCATAAATGGCAGCAGGTTGGATCTGGTTCCAGCCCGGTTGTTGGGGAAGGAAGTCACCGATCATGGTCACCACCAGAACCCATCTTCTCTTCTTTTCTACCAAGAGCCAAGCCAACACTGGTCTTTCACATATGTGTCCCCTCACGTAGCACACACTCAGGAAGCAAGCATGTGCTCTGTGGAGCTTGCAGACAACCAGCCAAAGAGGACGTTTCACAGCACTTCCCTTCCCTTGTCCCCCCAACACAGCCCTCGGAGACAGGATCTTATCATTTAGGTTGTTTTATTGTACAAGAATATAACATGCTGAAACAGGAAAATAGGGCTTGTGTACATCATCCATATCCAGGAAACCGGCTCCATTTGTCAATAATAAATAAATATTAAAACCATGCCGAGTTTCTGACAGGCTGAGGGGTTCCCAGCAGGTTCGAGGTAGAGTCAGGTGGACACAGGGAGGTGGTCAGACTGCCAGCTCCTGCTGAGATTCTCCAGTCCCGGCAAGTGAACTTACAATAAAAAAATAATGACGACAACACCACCAACGAGGATCATAGTAACAATATGCTATAGCAATAGTCATGCGACCAACAGTACAATAAATATTTCCTCCCGGAGGAGCTCACAGTACAGAAAACAGTATTTGTTAAACAGAAGCTAAGGGATCTGTTCTCGTCCCCACCTGGGTCCCTGTGCAGGAAGCTCCACTGTGGAATGTTTGTTCAGTGACACCCTGAGGGGACAAGAAGGTCTCACCCATCACCCCCATCCCCAGCCCCAGGCCCCACTCCACACCCTAGCAGCCTCTCTGCGGCCCCCACACCTGCTGGTAGATTCTGTCCGAGGGCGCTGCTCCCCCTCCCCGTAACTGCATTCACATCCACAGCGAACGCCAGCACCACGCTGGGCCTCATCTTAGCAAATACTAGCTCAATATAAACAAGAATTTCCAAAACTACAGAGGAGACATGGCTTCTTCTGGGATGCTCCCCACTCATCCCACAGATGCTGGAGAAGCTATAGACCAAGGGCAGGGGGGTGCCCCAAAGGTTCCCAGATTAGCCTCCTCAGCTCCTCTCAGCCCCAGTTTCCACCCCACATGTGTTCAGAGGCTGTGCCCATCACAGCATGCTGTGAACAGGTGGGGGTCTTCACCTGGAGCGCCTCATGAGCTTCACTTTCAAGGTGCAAAGTGGAGCATGAACACCTCTCAGCCAAGGGGACCCTCGGCACCCTTCCTCACAGCAGCTCCTGCTTCAACACAGGCGCAGAGTCCACTTGGAAGAAGTCGCCAAGAGCACCAAGCTCACATAAGCAAGACGGCCCCTTTGGAGGGTTCTCTACCGCCTCAGAAAGGGGCTCATGGGTCAATGGTTCAGCCATAGAATGTTCATCCTGGGCAAGAGTCATGTGCGGCCGCTGGCCTTGACAATACTGAGAAGGCTAGACACTCAAGTGCAAGCTAAGGGCACCTGGGAGTACAGAGGCAGGTGAGGAGGCAGGCGGACATGGCCACAGGCCCTTGCTCCCTCTGTAACCAGAGCAAAACTAGGAAGAGGAGGCCCTCAGAGTCTGCTGACCCCGCACCTTTCCCCTCCTTATCCCTTTACCCAAACCACCTCAGACCACTTCTCTGCTTCAGTGAGAACAAGAACCAGTTTTCTTTTCCCTGGAACCTCACACAAACTTCCTCTTCAGTCCTGAATCACAGATCCCAGGAATGGGGCAAGGGCTCATGCATAAATTGAGTCCCACAGTTGCTGGGCAAGAGGCAGCTCCCTCAGCCTTGTGCTGTACTGTCCACTTGCACACTCTGAGGAACCGGCCTCCCACCCAGGGGCTGCGGGAAGTATGCCTTCGGCCCTCTTCCTGGCTGGCTCCCCAACTGCTGCGGAGGCTCAGGTGCACAGGGGCGCAGCCAGACTGCAGCTGGATGGAGAGGGTGAGGTGACCGTGGCCTGGGCAGCCAGGTCCCTGTAAGTAGGGGACTTCAGAAAGCGTGGGTAGGAGTCCTTCTCCATTAGGGTGCGTGTCTTCCCCTGGGCCACATCAAAGCATGTGGCCTTGGCAGCCTGCACGTTGGTCCTCGTAAGCTCCCGGGTCTCGTGGTCTATGTTCACCTGTGGGGAGAAGGCGAGCACCAAGGTGAGTGGGGAGCGTGAGGGCCCACCAGACAAGAGGAGACTCAAGGGCTGGGGCAGGAGAAAATACCGAACTAAGCAGGAACTGGATTCCGTGTCGTTCTCAAACTGCTTTTCCAAAACATACTTGTCCCCACATCTGCCATTCGGCATATGCACCCAAATCTCATACTGATAAGAAGGATGTATGAAGGACATGCAGAGCCAACCGCAACAACAAAATAAACACATTTTTATGTAGTGGTGTTATGTGCCTTTGACTCAGAACCAACTCAGAGCTGACCCTACAGTGGGTTTTGAGAGGCTGTAAATCTCACGGTGGGGAGACTGTCCATCTTTCTTCCTTGGAGCAGATAGTGGATTTGAACCATGTTTTGTGTTAGCAGGCCAACTCCTTCTCTATGAAGCCCCTGATCTCTCTAAATTTATATTTTATATGTGTGTATTTTAATATGTGTGGAGTCTTTTGTTGATGCAAATAGCTTAGCACTTGACTCCTAGCCAAAAGCCTAGTTGTTTGAACCCACCAGAGAGGCCAGAGAAGACAGGCCTGCTGATCCATTTCTGAAAGGGCAGACCCTACGGGGCACAGCTATACTCTACACGCTCAGAGCTAGAATTGACTCAGGGCCATTAACAACAATAACAGAAAGGATGTGCATAAGAACCTCTTGCTCTGCATTGATTCTCGTCCAAACCACCACCTGTCTACTGGATTAGTGCCAGAGACTCCTGACAGATCTCTCTCCTTTCCTCTCGCCCCTGTGGCCTGTCATTATCCTCCACTCAGCAGTAATAGTGGTCCTTTCAAAACCCAAGTCCACCTGGCAGTACCTTTACCAAGACTATGCATCCCACTGCCTTCCACATCACTCAGAGCAAAAGCTCAAGTTCTTGGTGGACCCCATAGCTTCTTGGCCCCACTCTGGCCACTGACACCTCTCTGACCTGACCTTCGCTCTCTGCCTCACTGACCCAGCTCCCATGGGTCCACTGGTGGCTCTATGCAGACAGCAAGCCCTCTGAGCTTTGCACCTGCTGCTTCCTGTGTTAGAATGGTCTCCCTTCTCTTGATCCTGTATAGTCTCTGCTCAAGAGTCATCAGTTTAGACAGTCTGTTTCCCGACTTCCCTGCATACAAGGAATGACCTCACCTCTCTCCTTCCCATCTATCTCTGGCATTCCCCATCTCCTGGCTTTATGTTTATCAGAATGCATATCACCCTCTGGCATACTTTTGTTTCATTGACTATTTTCACCTCGTCTCATTAGAAGTCCCATGAGGATCTGGACTTTGTTTTCTTCACTGCTATATCCCCAGTGCCTATAACAGCGCCTTGCATCTAATTGGTGCTCAGTGACTAATTTTTTGGAGTTACTCATTTTCACACTCATTGTCATGGAGTTAGAACCAACTCATAGCTCAGGCACGTTTCTAATACTGTCAGTTACAGAGGCGAAGAACACTCATCCTCCTATGGAGCTGCCAGCTAATGTGGCCTGCCAGAGAGGCTCAGCCTTTGAGTTAGCAACATACACTAAATGAATCCATGCAAGTTGCTGTGGAGCTGATTCAAACTAGCAATGAACATGTCAGAATAGAACCGTACTACTTGGAGTTGGTTTTATTGGGCGTAAATTGCTAGGCCTTTCTTCTAAGGTGCTTCCAGGTAGATTTGAATTATCAAACTTCCAGGAAGGGCAGACTCCCAAACAAATAAAAGTGCTCAGCAAAAGGAGAAAAAAAAAAAAAGACACAAAGCGGGGCATTACTGCATCTGTCCACAAGGTGGCCCTATGCTCCTTATCAAATGCACCACCTGCCACGCAGCCCTGGCCTGAAGGCAAGGTAACCTGCTCAATTCCACCGATCATAGGCTCCTGACCAGAGCTCAGGGGCCAGCGGACTGTGCTGGGTTATGTAAGATCCCTAGGTGAACCTTGCCGCTCCAGCTGTGTGTGTGGAATATGACATGGGCTGGGTTTACATAAGTGGGTGTGGGCAGAGGTCCCCCAAGATGAACAGGCATTCCAAATTGGAAGGTCTGAAGGTTAGAAGGAGCTTGATTTTCCTAACTTCCTATCATAGAAGCCAACTCATCCCTATGTCAAATAAAGCTGCTCTGCTTCTAACCCCGCTACTTCATCTCCTGGCCCCCTCAGATGCCCGTTTCCAGAAGGAAGGGGGTCTGGAAGATCCAGAAGACATGCCAGGGCTCTGACCTCTTTTGGGGCTTCACTGCGAATGAACTCCTCAAAGATGCTGTGTGCCCTGGAGGCCAGCTTGGCAGCCGAGCGGATCTTCTTGAACTCCTCGCAGGCTAGCCAGAACTCCAGGTTCTCTTCGCTGAACTCTGTCTTCAGAAAAGCATGGAAGGCAGCCACCCCATCTGTGGTTGAAGGGAGAGAGGCGGAGGCAGGTCAGACGGGGGACAGGCGAGAATAAAAGAAAGAGACAGCAACTGCAGTTAATGGCTCTATTTTTAGGATGTCATTTTCTTGAACAAGGACCTGCCTTTGTTTTCTGAATAGAGGCTGGCTCACTAGGGGATCATTATTATTATTGCTACAGCTATTATTTAGCCCATGCATTGAGCATCGCCCCCCCCCCCCCAGCCTGGCTCCAAAGCACGTGAGAACACATGTGCCACCCACAGACAGACACCAAGGGGCCCTACTCACTTTTACTGCCCAGCAGCGAGTCGAAAGACTCTCTCCACCTCAGGACATCCTCTGAGAAGTTTCTGCTGATGAAAACAAACAAACAAACAAAAATTATGTGTGCACATATATATTTATAATATAAAGCAAACAAATGAACAATCCAATGCCTAGCCTAAACTCTAGTCAGAACTCCAAAGGGAAGTTGCCTCTTTCACGTGCACAGCTTGCCTGGGGATTACTAAGGCTGATTCCTCAAACTCCCAGTTGAGGCTGAGAGTGGAGGACAAAGAGCATTTTGTGTAGGACAATACAGGAGCCAGAAACCAAACTCAGGGACGTTTGGGTCTCAGCAAATAACTCTAAGGCTGGCTCATCTCTACACACAGTGGTTTCTATTCCCCCCCTCTCTGAGCTTTGTTTTGTCTTCCTCTCCAAGGAAATCAAGGTCTCACCCATAGAGACATTTACCCAGCGCCTAATGCAGCACCTAGCCAAAGCGTTGATGTTCACTCATTAGGAAAGGCCTGCCTAGGCAAGGCACATGCTGACGGCAGGAGAGACATCCACAGAAGCTTGGAGTGGTCTGGTACCCTATCCTAGTCCTTGCTGCAAAGGACATGCACATTTCCAGATAGGAGAGCCTTGTAACTAGACATTGAAGTTTTCCACTCAGGTCTTGCATCTACTGATGGTCTTAGAACCTCAGAACTACCCACCCAAGCACCCATGAGCTAAACAGACATAACAGACCACCACCACAAACAATAACTCAGAGAGGGGTTACCTAGGTCTACCCTAGTTTCTGTTCCGTATAGTATTCATTTTCCTGGCTCCTTTCTTAACTCTGACTCCCTCCCCACTAGAAGCTGGTCAGCAGGTCTTACCTCTCTTTGTTGTGTTTGCTGCCCCACTCGATCTTGCCGGCATTCCCAGTATCAGAGCCCAAGTCTGATTTGTGGAGGAAGATCCCCAGGCGTGTCTTGAACTCTTTAGCTCTGGAAGACAAAGCAGGAGCCTGTAAGTTTCCTCCATTCACATGACCAGTGCAGAGAGGCTTCTGGAGTTTCAGGGGATCCTAAGCTGGTGTCACCTAAACTTCCCAGCCTCTGGGAAACCCAGAGCTGTGTCCAAGCCCAAACTTTGCTCCCTCATTGGTATCAACAGGCAAAACAACCTGTGAGCAGCACCCCACCTACTGCCAGCATATGGATTCAGATTCTCAGAGACCCTGATGAACAGAGCTGTCATTAAGGTTTCCAAAGCTATAAATCTTTAGGGAAGCAGACTGCCACATTTTTTTTTTCCTACTGAGTAACTGGTAGATTCAAACCACCAACCTTCTGGCAACCACCATTGCTTAAGGAATGGCTCCTAGGTTAAGTCATACTTCTACAAGGGTTTACAGTATTTCAGAGATAGGTTTTCGCCCACCTAAGTCTAACACTGAATGAGCATTGTGCCTGTTGATCAGCCGGCACAGTCTCCTGGGCTTGTCAGTATTTCCAGAGCTCTGTGGAAAAGGATTTCTGCCTTCCATCTTTGCCCTCTCTTGGCACAAGCCCCAGGAAAGGCTGGGGACGGCTGAGTAGCTCCGGGAAGTGGGAGCATCCCCTTCTACAACCCTTGATAAGCATCTCCCTGACTTTCCATAAAGAAACCCGGTGGTGCAGTGGTGAAGCGCTGGGCTCCCCAACTGCAGCTGAAACCCATTGGCTGACTCAAATGAGAAAGGTGAGACAGTCTGCTTTCAAAGACTTATGGTCTTAGAAGTTCTATGGGACACTTCTACTCTATCCTGAAGGTGGTTATAGGGCAGAATCGGAGAGTAGTGAGTTTGAGGGGGGAAAGGAGGCTATGCTCTAGCTCTGAGCCATAAAGTGGAAGACGATGTTCCAGAAACTGGGCAAAACTCGTTTCTGTCAATGTAGTCTTCCTACAGCGGGTCTTCAGGTCGTCCCCTGAAAAGGACTGTTTATCAGAGGATGGGGAACACAACCAGCGGTCCCTGTTTCTAGCCTTCTCTTAACTTCCATGGGACAATTATCTAAGCAGGCAGCATCAAGTTAGCCTCTGCCTCCCTCCTCGAGTCTCTCAGACCTTACCCGCCCACCCACTCAAGGTTGCCTGGGCCGCTGCTTCACTTCCTATGAGTTAGAGACTTAGACTTCTTCCGCAGGCAGACACCAAACTCCACAGGGCGAGCTCCACTTACCTCTCCAGGCAGGTGGTGGGGAAGGCGGATAGGGTCCGGCACATGGCTGCGGGAGCAGGACAGTACGTCGTGGGAAGAATGGTGGCGGGCCCTGTGAGGACTAAGTGGCGAGGAGCCGCAGCAGACAGGCGCTGTTTTCTGCGGGTCGATTTGGATTTAACTAACTGACTCCATCCAGGCGCGCCTGCGGCGGCTTTTATTTCCTCTCAGGCACCGGGAGGGCGGGGTCGTGGGCCCCTGACCTATAGGAGCGCGAGGCTGGCATTACGGAGGCGGGGCGCCGACTGGGAGTACACCCGCGTTGACGCGTGCTCCGTGCCAGCTGGGGGCGCTGGGCCACGCGGGCTCCCCCTCCTCTGGGTGGAGAAGGGAGAAGTGGCTGAGAAAAAAAAACAACGCCGAGATGAGAGGCGCACGAACAGTCTAGAAGGACACACACACACACTCACACACACTCACACTCACACACACACACACACACACACACACACACACACACGCGCGCGCGCAAATAAACTCGCCGACATCTAACAAAAGCAAGAAAACAAGCCAGCGGAGTCAGGAGAGTGCGTGTGGGTGGCGAGTCTGGGACACGCTTGAGGTGTCAGTCACAGGAAAGTCTGAATCTGCAGAGTCCTGAATGTCAGAGGCACCGCGTCTAACAGGGACAAGATAGCACCATGATTAAGCAGTGATAACTGCTGTGTATTGTGTGCCCCTATCCCCATCGGCAAGGTGCCAAGGTTTTAATCAGCCTCATCACCCATCAGTTCCATTTTACAAACGAAACTGAGGGTTAAGAGAGCTTTGATCACGTTGATCGAATCGGGAATAAGCTGTAGCAGGGCAAGGGGGTTTTATTGAGCACTATCTACCAAGTGCTTGTACTTTTACCAAGACTCATGGATGTTAACTAACTTCTTTAGTGTTGCATAATGTTGGCAGCAGAATTAGAGTCTAAATATTTCCTTTCCACCACCAAATAACAGTCATTTCACAACTCTGTACCTGGGCATAAACAACTGGCAGCTTAATATCATCATCTCTGCCTGCTATAAAGTAATGCCCTATTTCTTTCCTTCCCTCACTTTTACCATAAAGACTTTACAGCCTCCCATGGCCCCAGGGTTCCCTGTGAAACTGTTATTAAGAGGCTATATTATTAAAAGTTTGCAATCTTGAGCTACACCTTGGGGGTTTGAATCATGACCCCCACCACTTACTTAGGACAACAGGAACAACTTTCCTAAAGGAAAAGTTCATCATCCCTTGTGGCTTTCATGATCCCTCAGAACAGAATCAGGATCCACATATGCCACGATTGTTGTGAAGAATAAACAAGTTAATGCGTCTTTTGAATTCCCTGAGGTACAGACTCTGCAGGAGAATTGCACCCAGGAGACTTACTGTGGAGACTCGTATAGAACAACACCTGTGAAACGATGAGGGAAGCCAAACTGAACTCCATGCTTTTGCCTCAGGATCTGAGACAGGTCCCTGGGATCCCATGGGGCTGGGAGAGCTCAGCGCCAGAAGATGGCCTAACTGGAAGGCCTCTAGTTCCTTAACAGGACTTCTACTATGAGCTGTTTGTTGTTGTTGTTGTTGTAGATGCCTTTAAGTCAACTGCAACTGATAGCAACCGTACTATGTGTGACAGGTAGAAACCTTCATTCTATCTTCATCATCTTCACAATCTATGCTGTGGTTAAGCGTCTTGCTGCAGTCACTGTATCAATTCATCTGGTTGATCTTTCATTGATCCTCCACCTTTCCAAGCATGATACTCTTTTCCAAAGACTGGTGCTTTCTGATAATGGGCCCAAAGAATGTGAGACCAAGTCTTGCCATTCTTTCTTCTTGCTTTTAAGGAGCACTTTTCCTGCACTTCTTCCAAAACAGATCTGTTTATTCTTGAGCAGTCCATGGTATATTCAATACTCTTCACCAACACCACAATTCAAAGGCAGTGAGTCTTCCTTATTTATTGTCCAACTTGCATGTGTATCTGAAGCAATTGAAAATCCCCTGGCTTGAGTCACGTGCAATTTAGTCTTAGCTGATATTCTTGTGCTTTAGTACTTTAAAGAGGTCCTTAAGAGGAGATCTGCCCAGTCTTTGGATTTCTGGCCTGCTGCTTCCACTGGAGTTGAGTGTAGATCCAAGTAAAATGAAATCCTTGACAACTTCAATCTGTTCTCCATTTATCATGCTGTTGCTTGTTGGTCTAGAGGTGAGGATTTTTGTTTCTTGAAGTCTGTTACAGCAGACAGTACTGATGGCTGGTCCTGAAGCAAGTATTTGGGCGGTGTCCCACAGCAAGCCAAACATTTAAGGTGTTATAACAGTCCTCAGCCTGCCTTAGCACGTTTAAATGTTAGCTTTCCACTGTTTACTTAATAGGGATACAGGGATGTCAAAACAATAAGGAAGAACAATTCGAGTTTCGAGTTTCACGCCTCTTGCAACCTAAGGGTTTTCTTTTATACAAGGCATAGCAAACAGGTACTCCTCAGTGAGGCCTGCTCATCTTCCTAGATGTGAAGAGTTAGTAAAAAATGGGCAAAAACAGTCCTCCACCTGGGAAAATTCAATGAAAAAACTGACCAGAAAATAACAGGGAAGGGAAAAAAGAGCATCTTTTTGTCAAAACAGATTCTGTTGTTAAGCAGGGTCTGCAGAATATGACCCAGTTAGGCAAAACCATAACATGTGCTTGATAGAGCCAGAGCCATAATCCTCTCCAATCCTTCTCAAACCTCCCAGTGGGTTAGCAGAGCCTGGAAGCAGGGCTGACAGCAGTCCCTCACCCTGCACGCCCATCCACGTCCATGTCCTGCCAACCTAAGCTTTTGTTCTTCATTTCTTGCAAGTGCAGGGCTCAGCTGGGGTGAGGCAGAGTGGATGGGCCCGGGATGGGAGTGGGGTAATGGTGTGCGTTTCAGCAGAGTCCTCTGTCTTTCGTCCACTGTCTAGAACCACCATCCCAGTCCTCACTGATAGGACATGCTGCTGGATATGCGGCCCGCTAAAGTGAGGAGTTATTATTTCACCTGGTTCCACCCACACCCCAGGGCAGGTGTTTAGAATTTAGGTGTCAGGTGAGGTAGTGAGTGTCTTGTCTGTGGGGCAGCTTCTCTTCACACAGTAAAAATGAATTTATGGGAGAATCTCCCACGCTCTTATCCTCAACAGAACTTTATGCCAAGCAGCCTAGGTATGGCCACAAGAGAACAACAACACTGTTACGAAGAGAATCTACAAAGGCTTCCTGAACCCTTGCTATATCCTTTCTGCAACCGTGAATAGGCCAGACAAGTTGATAAAGCCTGTTTTACAGAAAGCAAGACAACCTTAGTACACTAAGACAGCTGAGACCCAGGCCAGATCCATAGGTCTCAGAGCAAGTACTTTCTCCCTTTCAACAAAGAAAGCAAAGGAGACAAAGGACTAGATAAGGAGATACTCAGATAAGCAAGTCTAGGAGCACCAGCTCCCAGCTTAGCTCAAGAGCCCTCTCTGAGCGCAACCTGCCTCCTGGTTACCATGGTTACCCCTCCAGGTTTCCAGGCAGAAATTTTTTTAAGTTTACAATATATCCCAAATTCTCTTCCCAGCAGGTCAATGGTATCCACAATTTCAGTCATGCGGGATGAGTTGACAGTTGCTGTAAATCCAGCGAGTTAGCTTCCCTTTGAGCTGCACTGGCTTTGACATTGTCCAACCACTTTTTATCTAGTTCCCCCAGCGCAGCTGCACTCTCTTTGATGGAGGAGGTGAAGACAGAGTTCTGCTGCCCAAGTCATCTGAGGTCACCACGCTGGACAAAGCTGAGGTCAGGATTAAACATCACACAGTGTCCTGGCCTTCCACCTCCTGCAAGCCTCTCTGACCCACTAACCCCTGTTTGGATCCACCAAGGGACTTGTGCTTCAGGTTTGTTGTTGATATTGTTGTTGAGTCGAAACTAGCTCATAGCTGACCCTCTGGTGGGTTTTTAATGGCTCTGAATTGTACAAAAGGAGATTGTCCATCTTTCTCCATTAAGAGTAGCTGGTGGATTTGAATCATCTGCCTGTGGTTTAATATCATATAAACAGTGGTGGGGTGGGGGGAGGGACGTACCCTGAAGTAGCTGGAGGACGAGGTAGAACTCATTCCCAGCAGATGTGACATGGCAATCCCTGGGGCACATTTCCCTTCAAAGTCACAGCAAGAGCTTTGGACTCCCTCCCCCGACTGCACGGAGAAAGTTGACAGAGTTCAGCCTAAGTACAGGAAACCCACTGCTTCTCCTTGATTATTCTCTGGGGCACTGAGTGTAGTTCACTTCAGCAGCTGTATCATTCCCCTCTAACTTAGCTTCCCTCTTTCTTTCTTATAAAAATGTCTGAGTGGAGTTCTGAGGGCATGGAAATATGAGAGCCTTATTGTTCTTCAGCCAGCCCTAGAAATTAATACCCATCACTAAGGCAGGACAGTCAGCCTCTTGGGAAACTTTAAAAAACTCAAACTCACTGTCATCAAGTTGGAACCCACTCATAGCTGACCCTGCCTTGGGTTTCTGTGCCCATAACTCACAGAAGAGGAGGTTTCTACCTGAGTCACTGGTAGATTGGAACTATTAAAGAAGTCACCTTTGAGTTAGTAGCACAACTCCTTACAGACTCTACCACCCAGGAAGTGAGATTTAAACCTTTAGGTGATACCTGTGACTTAAAGGATGATGCCCAGTCTCCTCTGTATCATATAAGACTCTAACCATCTGATATCGTGTTCCTTCACTTGGTACCCTAAAATCCAAGCACACTCATCCATAGGCAGGTAACACAGATGCCATGCTGCCTGACGACTGAAAACCCCTGAGCCTGGGTGGTCCCTACTTCCCTGTGCTATTCATTTTAAGAAAATATTTATCGATAAATTCATTTCACTGGGATACATTTTCCATATAAAAATGCATTAATCTTAACGGTGTGGCTCAATGAGCTTGAATAAATGGAGGATGCCCTTGAGGACTGGATATTCTTGAACCAGCTACACC